CAGGAATGCTTTTTATTTGTTTTGCTTTCCTCTCTCCAGCCCAGTTTTTATTTTGGGGGTTGAAGGGGGTGTGAGTGAGTACAGCAGCCACTTCCTGCCACTGCGAAGCTGACATGGCTGAGGCACTGGGAATTGTAGTCCAGGGCTGCATGGCTCACCTGCTCCTAGAGAGAAACACCCTGAAGACCTAGATACATACGTGCAGAGACCTGGGGCATTTTACAGGATCTCATAGAAAATGTTTCAAGTTAGAAATAATGTAGGTGATGATGATAAAGAAACCAACTCCTTGGCCTGGTTTGAATTTTTACAAATTGTGCCCTCTGAAATTCTTTACTCTTTGCCCTAATAAAATAAGTTAATAATAAGGTAACATATATTGTGGGCAGGTTAGCAGTAGCTAATTTTTGTGACCTTAAGAAGGATTGCATTCTGCCTTGTATTTTTGTCACTGTTAGAAAAAAATTATAAATTGTTCTAAACTGAACATCATAATATATGTACACGACATAGCATTTGCCAGAGTTTCTGAAACCTCCTCCAAAAGTTGTATTTAAATGTGAGAATTGAATTGAGGGGTCAATCTCCTGAGTCTTGACCTGCTGCTAACCCAGTGCTTTGATGCCTTAAAGTACTAATTTCCAAGAAATTTGCTTTTTTCAGTATCTATGAATATGTCAGATTGTCAGATCCATGTCCTATATTGATTTATCTTTGTGAGGCTCTAAAATAGCAAACATTTTTGCAGTAATTTCTACCACATTTGTAGTAATTTATTTCTTATACCACAGACATCAGTTGACAGTATTTTAAGTGGAATCCTGAAGTGTTAAGAAAAATGAAAAATATCTTAGTTTATTAAAGATCTGTGATGCTCAAGGAATGTTACGGGGTTTTTTTCTTGGTGTTTGGGTTTTGTGTTAATATTTAAGTGCTTATTTTCCTACCTAAATTGGAGAATGTGCCAAGTAACTTTATTCCTCTTTATTTTTGTAGATAGGTATAATCATCCTCCTTTTTTACAGATAAGAAAATTGGGGCTCCAAAAGTTACTAAGTTAATTGGTATTTCTGACACAGCTAATTCTTGGAAACTAAACTAGGAGCACCATTAACATTTTCTGAATCCTTAGTCTAGTTATATATTCTATCATGCCTGGAAATGTGAGTAATTATTACACCTGAGCATTTAGTGGTTGAGAGGGGAGGTGGGGATTCATTCACTTGATGGTGAGGAATGTATGACAGGCATTTGAGGACTGCTGTGGTCGTCCTTCATCTTAAAGGTGAGGACCTAGTCCAGTTCATCTTGGATCTCAGCATCCTTGGCATAGAGCAGTTTGTGGTGCTCATTGACTGTTTCAAGGAGTCCAGCCCTAGGAAGATCTGAGGGATTATAAAGACAGTCTTCATCATTCTGCAGTAAACCATGTGTGTATCTGTAGTTTTAATCCGTAGGAAACCTGCACTAACACCATGTGTTCTGTTTTCTTTTTAGACTGCGAAAAGGAAGCGTGGCTACATTAAAAATAAACTAGTTTTTAAGAAAGGCAAGAAAATATCTAAGAAGACTGTTTAAATATACTGTTCTGGTTCCTAACTTGAAGCAGATGTCCTTGTGAGAACCGGTCTTTGCCTTTAGCTCATGTCATGTTTCACAGTGACGGAGGGTACAGAACCATCACTGGAACCATCACTGGTCCAGGTTAATGTACAAAACTTTCTGGCAATGCCTGATTTAAAAAATAAAATTGGCTTACTGAGAACAGCTGTTTTTGATTTGTAATGTGAAGCAAGACAGAGCACTGCTGTAAATGTCTAACAGCAGATTTTTTTTTTTACTGGTACATGTTATCCTTCAAATCTGAGAATTTGGACTAATGGCACCAAAGAACCCTCTGATTTGGTCCCTGGCACATGCATACTTGTCAATGTTTTTATTCTTTTACAAGACCTGCATTTTATTTGAATTACCCAGATAGCAATACATAAAATACGAATGACAAAATGTGATGCAAGCTTCTTGAACCAGTAAACTAGTATGGTCTGAGAAAGAGGTATTAGAAAAATAATTATACTTCCTTGAACTATATTTATTTTCATGTTTCTCCGGTGCAAAGAATGTTTCATCAAATGTACATTTTCTATTGCTTACTGTTTGCTCTGAGAAGAAGCTGCTGTTTCAAAGATGGACCTGTAACTAATTGATTCAAATAGTTTTTTTTTTTTTTTATGTTGCAACATTATTGCTGCTGTTAGCAGTTGTTTTCACCAGGTACTTACAGAGCAGATCTCATACGTTGTTCATTCAAGGGCTAAATTTATATCCTTTGGAAATCATGGCAACTGCACAGGATGTTGCTAATTACCAGGACGGGGTTTGGTATCTTAGTCCTGAGGTTAGCACTTTGTTTACATGCAAAAGATTAAGGAAGAAACCCTTAAAGTGGACAGGTAGCCAAAGTTCATTTTGTGTGATTCTTCAAAATGACAAAGGATTTGTAAAGTTCGCCTGGATTTCTCTCATTTTTATAACAGTTTCATCCATCACAGTGATTTTGTCCTCTGCTCCATATTTTGTTAATCCCTTAAGCATTTGATGAAACACTCTTTAATGCTATATGCATTTTCTTATTTTTATTAAAAATGTGACAGTTGTCCAAAAAAATGCACTAAAATATAAATGGAGATTGAACATGTTCACTTTCCGTCTCATAGGCAACTTTATATAGACTTGAAAATTTTCTCCTGTTTAGTAAAAGTGAAAGAGAAAGGGTTTTTCCTGCCACAGGATATCTTTTTTTTATATAAACAAGTATAATTTACACCACTGCTTTTGGTGGGGAAGTGCAGAATAGTTTGTAACTTTTATGAAGAAAAGCATAATTTACAATATTCATTGAGAATGTTACTGCTGATTTTCTTTCCCAAAGTGTAGAATATTCTTTGATTTATAGAATCCATTTTTGACCCAGATGATGGTTCTTTTACATACCAATAAAATGGTTGAACCTTTTCACAATAAAAGTGTAACTAAATCTGGATTTCTGATACCTTGTTTTGGAGGATGAATCCATTTTTGACCCAGATGATGGTTCTTTTACATACCAATAAAATGGTTGAACCTTTTCACAATAAAAGTGTAACTAAATCTGGATTTCTGATACCTTGTCATTTGGAGGATTTTATTTTACTTTGTAGCTTTAAAATTCAGTGCAGAGAAGTTGTTGACTGTAGGGAAAATAAAGTTAATTCAAATTTTGTGTTAAGTGTTATCTTTTATACATCTTTTATTTTTGAAAGGACTAACAGTATTGAACACATACTTCTTGTTCACTTTTACAAAGGTTTTAGAGAACACGTGTAGGAAAAGTGCTAGATTAGTTCAACTTAGGTCTAAGGTCTGAGTTGAACTAATCTATTATTTATTTTGCCTTCCTTTCCACCCCAGAGTGAAAATTTCATTTTGACTTTTTATGGGTGAGTGAGGGGAAGACACCTAGCCAAATAAGAATTTAATCTCCATGTAAATGAGGCCAGGACTCTAACAAAAAAGCCCTGCAGGAATGATCTCTCACCTTTTCCAGTTTTAGGGAACCCCGTTTTGGTTCAGTGGATTGCCTCAGCAAAAACTATATTGTAACCACACTTGAGATTTTATTGTAGCAGAAAAGTGAAATTATAGACAGTAAAACAGCTTTTATTTTTATTCCACATCTTAGAATTGAACAAGCTGAGTGCTTTGTAGTATAAATAAGGCAGTGAGGCAGCAAGTCCAAAGATAAAGTTTATTTTTCAAACTTAACATCCTTACCTACTTACTTGAGTTTGCATTTGTAGAGTTTTAACTTCGAGTCCCCAGGCCATGACCAAAAGGCCAGAGAACTAGATGGTGTAAAAGCAGTCTATAGGGTATTAGCGTTTCCATAGCTTAAGGTCATAAGATTATGAAATCTGGAGCCTCCACACACTTTTTTTAAATGGTAGTAAAATATATAACATAAAATTTACCATCTTAACCATTTTAAAGATGTACAGTTCAGTAGTGTTGAGTACATTCACATTGTTGTGCAACCCTCTCCGAATTTCCTCCTTTGGAATGGGTGCTGCTTGATGTGGGTGCTGTCAGCCCCCTGCCTTGTTACCCAGGCCTCACTGAGGTAGGTGGAGTCATGAATGAATGTAGAAACAGCTGTCTGTTAGAAATGGCAGGTGTCTGAAATGAAAAAGTAATCCTTCTTTTGGTGTGAGGTGTGACACCGGGAAGACAAAAATGCACATCTTAGCAAATTACCACAAGACAAGCAACTTTGTAACCACAACTCAGATCAAGAGAACAACACTGCCAGGACTCCAGAAGCTTCCTCATGCTCCCACTTGGTCACTGGCCTGTCCTACTTGCCCCTCTAGGAGGTAATCAGTCTCCTAGGTTTTACAGTAATTTCTGTTTCTAAACATATTTAATTGTACATGTTCTCTGAACAATAAAATGGAATCAAAGTATGTATTTTTTTATTTAGCTGCTTTTGCTTAGTTTTTATGAAATTCTAAATGTTGCATGCAGCTGTAGATTTATTTTCATTGAGGTATATAGTATTCCTGTGTGTGTGTATCTGTCACACACACACACCATTCTATTGATAGATATTTGTGTTGTTTCCAGTTGGAGGATATTACAGTTAAGGCTATAGGAATTTTCTTTTACACCTCACATGGAGCTTACATGCACATATTTTAGTGGGTATCTACGTAATAAAGTAGAATTGCTGGGTAGGGTATGAAGGTTCTTGTTACTCCCACATCCTAATCAGCCCTTGTCAGGCTTTTTAATGTTGCCTTTATGGTGGGTGAATGATGGTTTTCCATTGTGGTTTAGTTTGCCATTTCCAGGTTGCTAATGAGGTTGGTCATTTGGCAATCCCCTTTTTATAAGGATTTGGTTTTTCTTTTTTTTTTATTGTATTAGTAGGAGTTGTTTACATATCCTGTATATAAGCTCTTCATCATTTGTGTTGCAAACTGCCTAGGAATTCATTATTTTAATGTTGTATTTTTCAGTCTTCCATGTGCCTGTAGCTTTCTGTGTACCCTGTTTAATAATATTTTCCTAATCTGCGGTGTGAAGATAGTCTCTTGTATTCTCTTCCAGGAAATATATTGTTTTATCTTTTATACTTAGGATTGCAGTCTGCCCGGAATTCATTTGTTGAGTACAGTGTGAATTGTTTGGGTTTTGTTTTGGGTTCGTTAGGTTTTTGGTGGGGTTTTTTTCCATATGCAAATCTAATTGTGCACTGTTTATTGAAAAGACTGTCGTTTTCCTAAAGTTCTGCAGTTCTCCTTTTTCAGTAAATCCATACATGAATCTATTTCTGGGCTGTATGTTATATTCCATAGATTTCTTACCTTTCTGTATTGATTTAATGTGCTTTAAGATAATTAACATGGTAATGTCTCCCATCCCCACCTTCTCAGACTTTGCTTGGTTATTTCTGGCCCTTTGTTTCTCCATATAAATTTTAGAACCAGTTTATTAAATAACACCAAAAAAGAAAAAAAAAAGGGAAACCTTGTTGGGCTCTTGACTGGGCATTAGGCATTGAAACTATAGATGAATTTAGGAAGAATTAACACCTTTGAAATACTGAGTCTTCTGTCTGTGAACATGGCATATCCTTCAATTTATATAGGTCTGGGTCATCTTTAATATCTGCATTGTAGTTTTTCAGTAGGTCTTGCACATTTTCATAAGTTTTATTACAAGGTATATTTTTTGATAAATACTGTCTTATAAAGTTTTACTTTCCAATTGTCAGTATATAGAACATTTGGTTTTATATGTTGAAATTGTACTGAACAACCTGTTAAACTCATCCTGATAATTCAGATTATTATAAACATATGCCATCATAATTAGGGAATAATGGCAGTTTTATTTCTCCTTTTCTAGTGGTTATACATTTGATTTTCTTGCCTTTGCTGCGCTGGTCAGGATATCCAGCATAGTACTGCATAGAAAAGATAACGTTTGTCTTGCTCCTGTCTCACACAGAAAGTTTTCAATATTTTTCCTTTAAATATGTTTACTGTCGTTTTCTTTAGGTATCTTTGATCGGATTGAGTACATAGCTGTCCCAGTTTCCTGAGTTACCATGAATGAGTTTTGTTTTATCAGGTGATTTTTTCCTTTGTTTATTAAGATGATTCTGATTTTTCTCCTTTATTCCGTTAATAGTGAATTACAGAGACTTTCTGTTTACATTGTTGAACTAAATTTGCATTCCTGGAATAATGATTATTTCTGGTTTTCTTTTTTCTTGTTGCATCCCTATTTCTGTCTCTTCTCTCTCATTACCTTGCTTCTCATTTTCCTTTAGTTTTTTATCAAAGACCAGCTTATGGCTTTGTTGACATTTTCTACAGTGTGTTTTTATTTCATTAGTGTTAATTTACTTCTGTTTGCTTGCAAGAGGGTTGTTCTTTTTACCTTAGTGTGATACATGAATTTAGTTATAAATTTACTCCAATCATAGTCTGTTTCATTCTCCCAAGTTTTGATGTGAACTGTCATTGAGTTTAATGCATAATTTGTGTACTTTCTTCTTTGAACCATGGGTTATATAGATGTACATTTCTTGATTTTCAAATATGGTGGTTTTTTAGTTATCCTTTTATTATCAGTTTCTACCTTAATTGTATTGTAGTCAGATCCTCTGATTTTAATCCTTTGAAGATGTTTGCAATTTGCTCTGTGGTCC